ACAGCTCGACTCGAGTCCACGACACTGGCTCGACAGGATGCTTAAACACGTTAACACACAGCTCGACTCGAGTCCACGACTCTGGCTCGACAGGATGCTTCCCACACACCTTATTCTGATCACCGGGTGATAACCTACACTCTCAAATCAATGCTCCATCCTGTGTTTAATGGCAGAACTGCATGTTACCCTCACCTTGTGCTGATGAAATAAAATAAACAAACTACATTATGGCTCAAACACACAGTTTCAAAATGGCTTTGGTTGTCTGGAAAGTGGTTCATAGGATTTGGCATCTTGTGATGGCAGTACTAACAACAATTTGTACAGTAGTCTTTGATCGTTATCCTGTCTCTTTGCAATGGGCTGTATCCAAGGTCCTGATCGATTTATTTGTTCAAAAATAAAACGTAAATAAAACCAACACATGTATAATCAAACAGAGACCTATTTAGGCTGGTATATGATTTCTGAGTTTGAAATCAAATATTAAAGTTAATTTTGTATTTTCTTAGAGGTGATTGTGGCCCTGGTACCTGACACTTCCTATCCAAAGACTGTGGTTGCAGTCGAATAGTCAAAAAATCAGCTCCTAACGTCTAACCCTATCGTCTATTCCTTGACCTCTGAGTGAAACGTCACGGGGTTAAGGGATAGTGGATAGGAGAATTCAAAAGGATTTAGGAGAAGAGACTGCGGTACTTTAGAGAATCCGAATGCACTTTCACTATCTGACGTGTTTATGATGCGCCAGCGGACGTCATAAATGTGCGTCTGCTGCTGTGGGGAAACTATGGAAACTACAGTTTTCTATACAACGGACTACATGGATGTATAATAAGGAGGGACTACTGTAAACTCATCTAGAGACTCTGCACCGTGCTCTGATGCTGTTGTTTTATGAACGTGGACAACAGAGAAACATATTCTTCATGACCAAAACTGGAATTGAAATAAAAAATGAAAGTGAAACTTATGCTCGTCACCCTCTCCCTCCGGTCCACATTAATACCAATGATCCCAATACGTATGATTGTATGAACTATGAAAATATCTTAAAATAAATACAAATGTATTTATTATAAACGTTAGTCCTTAACATCTATCACTGTGTATATCACCATTCAAACATCTTTTAAAAGTTGAACAAACCCCACACAGCTCAGTGAAATGTTGACTTTATCTGATCATTTCAGTAAAAACTAACGTTCATATTTCTCTTTTTGATTATAATACTGATGAACGTTCAAAACAAAGCACTTTGGCAAGTTACCACATACGTTTAAAAATGCTTAATAAGCACCGTAACTTTCATGATATCATTTCTCGGCCACTGAGGTACTTCCGGGTCATTTCACTCCGTTAGGAAGGTTCCTAAGCTAAATGGACTATTCAACTGCAACCTTGGTAACGTGTCATCTCTGTCTGACTTCAAAGAGTGCACTACAGTTTGGAAAATGTATTCCAGGCAAATGTTATTCCTCAACAACATAAAGCAGAACTCTTAAGCCTTGGAAATAAATAATAATACAGGAAGAGAAAAAGAAAAAGGCACTCACTGCGAGCAGATTCATGATGGTGTGACCGGTCTCTCCGAAGAGCGGCTTTCTGAAGCGCACACTGAACAGCGGACAGGGGTAGACTGCAAAACAAATGGTTAGTTGTTGATAAATCCACAATGGAAAGGTATTACTACCAACATGTTATCTAGAATAAATATTTCAACAATGTGTGGCATTACATATGGTCTTAGAAAACATTAAAATGATTTGAAATGTACTTTGCTGCTGTTAAAACATTTCTTATTGATTGTTTGTATTATTTTTATTTATTTCCCTACTCTCGGTTCCATGCCTATTTTTGCTTTGCAGGTGTTTCCAGTTTTTCCAAGTCGCGTTTCCTGTGTTTTTTTCCCTCTTCACTCATTAATGCAAATGAACTGAAGAAACACCACACATCAAAAAGAGAGCACCCCCTGCTGTTAAGAGGAACACTCCTAATCCACAACTGATAACTAAGGGTGTTTTTTCACCAGCAACCAAAGCTTCTTAGCAAACAGCTGGAAAAGAGCTCTCGCCGCAAACTCTCATTAGCAATAAAAAACAAATCTGCAGTTCAGCGGAGATCTGTACGATGGCGTGCTGCACAAACCGCTGGACACCACTACAGGTCAGAGGTGATGACTTAGAGAGCTACACCGTTTGTTAGGCAGATTCATTTTAGGTGATGAGGGTATTTAGTGTTGAAGGGCCTGGACTGTATGTGGCTGTGTTAATGTATTCCATCCAGGCTGGAAGCAGGCGAGGCTTAGCGGAGGCAGGCAGCTCGGCTGAGAGAGAGGGGATTTGGGGGAGAGGAGGCTCTCCGATAAACCCCCTCACAAGACGTCCTGGTTCATGCGAGAAGCCGTGAGAAACGCAGGTTAGTTTGATGTATAGAGGCGTCTTCTGACAACTGACATACTAAGCTATTTGGATTAAACTAGATCTGAATATTTACCCAAAGAAACCATCAAACCAACCATAAGAGGACACTGACACTCTAAGCTCTCCCTTTCTCCAAATTGTGACATTTGGTTCTAATGAAAGAAACATATACATTTTGTTAAAGGAAACTCCTGCCCCTAATGTGCAGATATCTTATAAATGTTGTTGCAAAATGTATTTAAATAAAGCAATACATTTCTTGGATGTGTGCTAAAATTAAAACAGAAAGCAGAGTTTGAAGCTGCAAAATCATCTGCAAAATCTTTCTTTCCTGCATCCAGCGCAGTGAGAGAAGTAAAACTACAAGCAAGAACTACAAACTATTCCAGCTTGTTTGTAGTTCTGGTAGCCAGGTGCCTTGCTCTAGATGTCACCCAGAATGTCCTTGATGTCTTTGCTTGTAATGCAAACTAGCTACTTTTCTAACAGCGAAAAAATAGCAAAATGCATTAAAATATGAAAAGCTACACTTCCACGTTTACTGGAAAACAATCATCTGCTTATGGAGATCATGTGTTATTAAAGAAAGCTCCATAACAAATATAGTATTATATTAATACTACGTTTCCAAGGACGAGAATGAACTTTTGAAATGGTATTTGTGTGTATAGAGATTTTTTTGCATTTTCTTCACAGGAAATAAAACTAAATGTGAATAAAACTGTTTGTAAACGCTTTAAAATAACATTACATTGTATTAAGTCCCCTATAACTAATGCTACCGTCTACAGTGAGAACCCCAGTAGCCCTGACTCACAGCGGTACTCTGCACCCAGCCGCAGCATGAGGCGGATGGGGAAGACTTTGGCCCAGGGCGTCTCCCACTTCTGGATGAGGAGGCCAAAGAGGTAGGGCGGGTTGGGCAGCAGCAGGTCCTGCAGCGACTGGAAGGAGGGGCTGATGTACAGGAAGCCCCCGTGCTCCTTACTGCCCAGGAAGCTCTGCGTGAAGAACGAGTGACTCAGGTGGCTCAGCACGTTGCCTTTAGGAGGGGAGGAGAGGAGGGAAGGAGAGGAGGGAAGGAGAGGAGAGAGGTTAGTGGCATAGGAGATGTGAGGATAAAGAGGGGGGGTTGGTGAAACAGCATGGTGGTGGGGGAGAAAATAGCAGTAATATTACACTTTTCTTCGGAAAGGGGTGGGGTAAATGCAGACCAACATGTGAAAAGTGTGTTGGGCACTGTATGTTTGAGAAAGAAACAGGCTTTAAATGTATACTTTGGATTATTTTGTGGAATGTTTGGAGCCTTGCTGACTCTGAATTGAGTTCTACAGCAATGAATATAAAAGATATGTTTGCCCTAGAGCCTCATATTACCCACAAAGGGTTCATGTTACTAATTATATGCGGGAGGGATTGTTGGCTTTACATGCCATAAACTGCAAAAACGGCATGACGAGGCTCAGGGGCCGGGACTTGCTAAAGCCAGCAGTTCTTCCCCAGTCCTGACTGACAGCGAGTTAATCAGGAACGACACACACAGTATGGCTCTTTTCCAACAGCCTGAAACTGCTCCAGTGAGAATATTAAAAAGGAAACAGCCTGAGGGGAGCGAGCCGTCAAAGTCACCCGATATTAGCCGATTGTGCTCTGCAGCATACGGGGGTAAAAACGCAAGACAAGCGTTGGTGAGGTGTCACACCCCGAGGGAGGAGACCTGACAGCAGGCTGATAATGTTTAGACCATTTTTCCTGAAATAGTAGTAGTAGTGGTAGTAGTAGTAGTAGTGGTAGTAGTAGTAGTAGTAGTAGTAGTAGTAGTAGTAGTAGTAGTGGTAGTGGTAGTAGTAGTAGTAGTAGTAGTAGTAGTAGTAGTAGTAGTAGTAGTAGTAGTAGTAGTAGTAGTAGTAGAAATAGGCAGATATGCAGTTCAGCAGCGGTGAACAGTAACCTGGTTTCCAGATAGAGGACAAGTAGGAACATCTGTTGTCTCTATGGAACAAAACAGAGCTGGGAAATTTCTCCACCTTACATTACTTTAAGGTTAGCTCATTTTTAACACAACAGCACCTGACAGGTAGACTAATGACTACTAATGAGCTGCCATCTCCCTCCAGAGGGGCCCACGGTGCAGGTGGACTAGTTTTACAGTGTGCCTCCTGGTTGAGCTGTTACTTGTGTTCTCACCACTGAGGGCCTCCTGGTAGAGCTGCACAAAGTGTGTGAAGATATCTTTGGGGATAGTCTTCTCGTCAGGGTGACACTGGAGCAGAATGACCACCTCTGCCTGGCCGACGGCGTGCATGCCCTTCGTCGTCACGTACCAGCACTTCCTGTTTACATCTGTGGGGGGGGAAAGAACAGAAAAAGAGTCAATAACTATTTCCTGCACGTGACCGTTACATCAGAGCCATAAACTTTTCTTATGGTTCTTTCAGATATTTTAAAAAGTAAACTTCCTTAGAATCATTTCAATATAGCACAATTCTGTAATGATTCCCAAACAAGTCTGAAATAATTGTAGTCAGATTTACATAAAGGCAACACCAGTACAAGATTAAAAATGAACAGACAGAAATTAAATGTGTGTCATGTTCCTTGCTTTTTTAGTAAACTTCACAAGCAAAAAGCAACATAGAATTGCTTTAATGATAACAGTTAGAGCTACAATGTGAATTATTAGGTGTCTATGTTTTTAAACCATTTAACATTGAGAAACTGTAATGTCCCATCTGTCTGTCAAGGTGTTTTTTTTCTTGCCCTCTTGAAATGCCTAAAATGCTAAGACCTTAAATGTTAATAACTGCTAAGTGCTCAAATGAATAAATGAACATCCAGCAAAGCACTTTAAATAGAGCATGGGAAAAAAAATCACAACTTAACGCATTTGAAATCTATGCTTGCTCATTGTTGCAGATTATACAATAGGCAGCACACTCGGACAATGTATTAAGGAATTAACTGGTTAATCCAGTGGTCCTCAAAGTGGGGGGCCCGCCCCCCCAGGGGGGCTCAGAGGCATGACAGGGGGGGCACGAGAGACCAGGAGGAAAAATGGTTATTTAAAAAAAAAACTAAAAAACAAAAATCATATTTTGAAAAATTATTGATTCGAAAATAATATCATACAGCACTATTACGTATGGGTCTCTGTGTTAAAATTTGAAAATAAGAAAAATTACAGTATATCATAAAGTATGGACAAAAAGTTAAAGAAGAGAATAAAAAAAATATTGATATTACTTAAAGGTAAAAGTTGCACCACTGAGCCTTTAATTCAACAAAATGTAATTACCACTGGTTTTGCAAACTCCTGGGTGACTCTATTGTGACTCGTCAAGGAAATCGAGTGACTCAGAGAGTCAAGCTGTCCTCTCTGAGTAGGAAGGTGAAAACAGCAACCTTTTTTGAGGAAATAGGCAATCGCATCGAACGATCGTGGTCTTCGATTGTGTTGCTAGGAGACCATGTGGCCACGCGAGAGAGAGAGAGAGAGAGAGCGAGAGCGTGCGTGTTTGTTACCGCGAGCAAGGGTGTGGTGTGTCGGCT